CCAAAAAACTCCACAAGGTTACTCCTAGAGCTGATAAACACCTTCAGCAATGTGGCAGGATGCAAGGTAAACTCAAAAAAATCAGTGGCCCTATTATATACAGATGATGAAGTGACTGAGAAAGAAATCAGAGAAACATCACCTTTTACAATAGCCAAAAACAGCATCAAATATCTGGGGATAATGTTAACCAAGGAAGTGAAAGACCTGTATATCGAGAACTTTGTGTCTTTGAAGAAAGAAATCAAAGAAGATACCAGAAAATGGAAAGATCTCCCATGCTCTTGGATTGGTAGGATCAACATAATAAAAATGGCAATCTTGCCAAAAGCAGTCTATAGATTCAATGCAATCCCTATCAAAATTCCATCACAATTCTTCAAGGACCTGGAAAGAACATTAATCAACTTTATATGGAAAAACAAAAGGCCCAGGATAGCCAAAACATCCCTATACAATAAAGGAACTTCAGGAGGCATCACCATACCTGACTTCAAGCTCTATTATAGAGCTATAGTCCTGAAAACAGCTTGGTATTGGCACAAAAATAGGCAGGTAGACCAATGGAACCGAATCGAAAGCCCTAATTTTAACCCACACACCTATGAGTACCTAATTTTTTTACAAAGAAACTAGAATTATACAATGGAAAAAAGAAAGCATCTTCAACAAACGGTGCTGGCATAACTGGGTACTGGTATGCAGAAGACTGCAGATAGATCCATGTTTATCGCCTTGTACAAAACTTAAGTCCAAATGGATCAAAGATCTCAACATAAATCCAGCCACACTGAAATTTTAGAAGAGAAAGTGGGAGATACTCTTCAACGAGTTGGTACAGGAGACCACTTCCTAAACATAACACCAGTGGCACAGGCACTGAGATCGACAATTAACAAATGGGACCTTCTGAAACTAAAAAGCTTCTGTAAGGCAAAGGACACAGTCCACAAGACAAAAAGGCAGGCCACAGAATGGGAAAAGATATTCACTAACCCTACATCTGACAGAGGGCTAATCTCCAAAATTTACAAAGAACTCAAGAAACAAGTCTCCAAAACACCAAAGGATCCAATTAAAAGGTGGGGTACAGAGCTAAATAGAGAATTCTCAGTAGAGGAGGCTAAAATGGCCAAGAGACACTTAAGAAAGTGCTCAGCATCCTTAGCCATCAGGGAAATGCAAATCAAAACAACTCTGAGATACCATCTTACTCCTGTCAGAATGGCTAGAATCAAAAACACCGAAGACAATTTATGCTGGAGAGGATGTGGAGAGAGAGGAACACTCCTCCACTGCTGGTGGGAATGCCGACTCATACAGCCTCTTTGGAAATCAGTATGGAGATTCCTCAGGAAAATGGGAATTAATCTACCACTAGACCCAGCAATTCCACTCTTAGGCATTTATCCAAATGAGGCAGGTTCATACAACAAGGGCATCTGCTCCACTATGTTCATAGCAGCATTATTTGTAATAGCCAGAACCTGGAAGCAACCTAGATGCCCCTCAACTGAAGAGTGGATAGAGAAAATGTGGTACATTTACACAATGGAGTATTACTCAGCAGAAAAAAACAATGGAATCTTGAAATTCGCAGGGAAATGGATAGTACTGGAAGAAACCATCCTGAGTGAGGTAACCCAGTCACAAAAAGACAAACATGGTATGTACTCACTCATATATGGATTTTAGATATGGATCAGGATAGTGCCAGTCTGCACTTCCACAGATAGAGAGTCTGGGAAACAGGAAAGAACCTAAAAGATATGCATATATGCATAGTACCCAAGAGAAGAGGATGGAGACAAGATCCTCTGAATGGATGGGGAACACGGTGAGGGGTGGGGGAAGTGGGACCTGGGAAGAATAGAGGGGGTAAAGAGGAAGGGAGCTGGTCATGGGGGAACAGGAAGTTGAGGGGGTGGGGGTAGAATAGGGGGAAGAGGGAATCATAGGATCAAAGACAGATCAGGCACCAGAGTGACCTCGAGTGATCTAAAGGTATAACATCAATTGGCAAGCTAAGCAATAGTGGAGGGACCACCTCGAATGCCCATTCCTGATAATGAACTTGATGTCTATAACCATACGGGAGCCTTCATCCTGTGACTGATGGAAGCAGAGGCAAACACACAAGTAATCACTGAACTGAACCCAAGGAACCCAGTGACAGAGAGAGAGGAGTGATGAGCAAATTGGCAAAGAATGGGCTGGCAAAACCAGCAGAGACAGCTGATCTGAACAGGGGAGTGCTCTTGGACCCCAGACCGACAGTGGGGAGGCCAGCATGGGACTGATCTGGAACTCCTCAAATGTGAGTGTCAGTGAGAAGGCCTGGGCAACCTATGGGGCCCTGAGCTGTGGATCAGTGTCTATCCCTGGTATACAAACTGTCTTCTTGTGCCTATAGCACAAAGAGAGATGCTCTCTCAGCCTGGACTCTTAGGGGAGTGCCTTGACCCTACCAAGAGTAAAATGAGAGACTCTAGATATCCCCTATGTGGAAGCATTTGGCAATAGGGTGGGAGGGAGGGGGGGAAGGGGAGTGCGGGAAGAGGGGAGGGAGAGGGAACTGGGATTGACATGTAAAACAAGCTATTTAAAATTAAAATAAAAAATGATAAAAAAATCCCACAGAATCACAAGCCTCCAAACAAAGAAAAAGTAGCAATGTGAATCCATGATGAGGGAAGTTATTCTGTGTATATATTGTCTTATTGGTTGATAAATAAAGCACTGTTCGCTAATAGGGAAGCAAGATATGTGAGACTAGGAGTCAAGGAGGATTCTGGGAAATGTAGTCAGGGGTAGAGGATCACCAATGTGATCCTGGGAGGAGAGGGCGCAAGTCTGGTGTTCTCAGTAAGATAAGACCTGGGGAGAGCTCTTGGACCCCAGGCTGACAGTGGGGAGGCCAGCGTGGGACTGATCTGGACCCCCCCCCCGGGTGTGAGTGTCAGCGAGAGGGCCTGGGCAGCCTGTGGGGCCCTGAGCTGTGGATCAGTGTCTATCGCTGGTGTACAGGCGGACTTCGTGTGCCTGTGGCGCGGGGAGGGATGCTCTCTCAACCTGGACTCTTGGGGGAGTGCCTGGACCCTGCCCAGGGTGGAATGAGGGACTCTGGATGTCCCCTATGTGGAAGGATTTGGCGGTGGGGTGGGAGGGTGGGGAGGAAGGGGGGTGCGGGAGGGGGGAGGGGGAGCTGGGATTGACATGTAAAACAGGCTATTTGGAATTAAAAAGAAAAAATAATAAAAAAATAATTAAAAAAATAAAACATGTTTCTTTGTTTTTTTTTTTTTTCCAGACAGGGTATCTCTGTGTAGCTTTGGAGCCTTGCCTAGAACTCACTCTGTAGACCAGGCTGGCCTCAAACTCACAGACATTCTCCTGTCTCTCTCTCCCCAGTGCTAGGATTAAAGCCACCACTGCCTGGCTTCTAATTATTTAAAACGTAGCATTATTTACTTGAGACCTAGTGGATACATCCAAAATTCACTCCAGCACTAGGGCTCAGGAAGAATAGCAGAAAATGGGGCGAAAGGACTGTGAGAGCCTGAGGATCGGGAAACTAATTGTGAGACTGTCTTCTGGAAATGTCACCAGTTACAGCATTACTTCTCACAAACATGGTTATCTAAAGATGAGCCGAGGAACAACAGTAGTCATGCCAAAGTCACCACAGGAATAACCAGAAGGCCTCCACCCTGTACAAATCACTAAGGAATATTGAGAATGGAGACTTAGTCTTCCCTAGGCAAGGACACACTGATTGTTTGCTCACTGTAAACTGGTCGGCTTTGCAAACACACATGTGAGGAGTATGCTGGTTGAGCAGGCTATGCTTCAGAAAAATATGTATACACATTACATATGTGCAGGTAACAGCAATTAATGAACAAAGAGGCCATGAGTTTGAAATAGAGCCAGGAGGGGAACATGGGGCTTTAGATGGACAGCCCTCTCCACAAAAAGATGACACTTCTTTCCTTATGAAAGCATCAGGGTTACATGATATGTCTCATAAAAATCTTTGATTTTTCTTTTAAAAATATTTAGTTTCATCTGGGGAGATGGCTCAGAGGTTAAGAGCACTGACTGCTCTTCCAGAGGTCCTGAGTCCAAGTCCCAGCAGTCACATGGTGGCTCACAGCCATCTATAATGAGATCTGGAGCCCTCTTCTGGTGTGCAGGCATACATGGAAGCAGAATGCTGTGCATATAATTAATAAATGAATAACTCTTAAAAAACATTTAGTTTCATCATTTGTGTGTGGCTGTCTGCCTCCATGTATTGTGACTGGAAAGGGGGATAGAAGGGCTATCATGGGCATGCTAGGCACTGTTTGTTGGATCCTAAAGTGACTACAGGACGTGCTGGGATTTGAACACCTGTTATGTGTGTCCTGATCAGGTAAACCATTCACCCCCATCAGATCAGGATCACCAGTCTCCCAGGTCATCTTAGTATTCCTGATTTTGTTGTTATTTTGGTTGGTGTGGCTGTTTTGAAACTGAAAATTTCATTTAGCCCAGTCTAGCCTAGAAGTCCATATGTAGCTTATCGTTGTGAGTTCTGAGACTTGGAGCAAACCTGCTGTGTGCTTTAATAGAATGCTGACATTGATGTATTCAGGACAAAGGAACATTGAGCAAGCACTGACCAACAACTCCAGTCAACCTTAAAAGTATTTAATTCAAAGTGAATATTTACAAACTGTAGTGACTCTATCCATTTCTTGTATTCTCTCAAGAAGTTCTGTTGATTGATTGAATACCATGCACACTTGGCTGTGGGGCCTTTAACTTTGCTCTTGAGGTCATGAGAGACACCTGATGATGGTTGCCAACAAAAGAGTCTGTCTCTAGTTTGATTCTCAACTTTCTCATTGTCTATGTCAGTAGGATTCAGGGGAGCAGTGGTTGTGATAGGCAGAATAACAGAAAGGGTTTATTCTCTGGATCTTTCTATAGCACCTGTGCATATTAAGGTCAAGATGAACTCCCCATCCTCGTTCAAGCTGTTGGCAGTAAAAAGTCTGCTGAAAGATGAAGCCTTGGCTATTTGTGCTCTGAAGGCCCTGCCCATGGAACTCTTCCCACCCCTATTTCAAGGGGCCTTTGATGGCAAACAAACAAACATCCTGAGGGCCATGGTGGCAGCCTGGCCCTTCAGATGCCTTCCTGTGGGATCCCTCAAGAAGACTCCTGACCTGGAGATTCTGAAGGCTCTGCTGGATGGCCTTGACTTGCTGATTAAGCAGAAGGATACACCTATGTTAAGTGAGAAACTGGTAGCATGGAGGGGAAGAGTGTGGATGGAGGGAGGTGACTACAGAGTTCAGAATGTGGTCCAAGTTGAATCAGAGCATTTCAGAAAAGTGCATAAGTAAAAAAGGTCAGTGGTGCCTGGAGCACAGTGTTAATAGATGTAGATGCATAGAGTGACTGTACCTCTGCTATTCTTCCACCAGCCACTAGAAATGGAAACAGTCTTGGTTTAAAGAATGGATTTAAGGGAAGTCGATGTGTGGGGTTTAGGCAGAGTGTACATTGTTAATTCTGTCATTTGAATCACTGTCTTGTTTGACCAACAGGAGTTGCAAACTCGAAGTACTTGATCTTCGAGATACCCAGCATAACTTCTGGAAGGTGTGGGCTGGAACAGAGGATGTTGTCTGCTTTGCAGATGTTGTTAGTGAGAGTCAACCAGCTGTGCGTAATCCCATTCGACGAGGAAAACAGGTTGTGACTGTGAGGATGGATCTTTCCCTGAAGTCCAGGGATCTCTGTAAATCCCTAAAATATTTCCACTGGTGGGCTAAGCAGAGGAAAGGTATGCTGCAGGTGATCTGTGAAAAGCTGGAGTTTGGGGCCCGACCTGTCTATAAGCCCCTCAAACTGCTGGAGGTGTTTGAGCCAAGTTCTATACAGGAGTTGGAAGTGAATGCACACTGGGACCTGAGAACCCTTGCGATGTTTGCCCCTGGCCTGGGCCACTGATCTAGTAGCCCTTCTGTTCCTTCAGTATCCATGATCTAGAACAGGTCATTGCTAGGGACCCAGATGAGGGGAAAGCAGATCTTCGGAGGGGTGCAGTTTTCAAGTCCTTGTTGCCCTATGTGAACACTGTCCTCTGAACTGTATCCACAGTTTACATCTGTCAATGATTCTCCAAGGGGCAGGTGCTCTTTGAGCACAGGTAGGGCCTGAGTCAATGGGAAATGGCTGAGAGTGATGAGGGCCCCAGGAAAGCCCTGAAAGCAACACAGAGGCTGTGCTAGGAAGGTGGGGTCATGGAGACCAATGTTGGCACACACAGGGAGGGCACTATGTTCCTCTAGGTGGTCCTTCCTGCTTTACTGCTGATACCATTTGTCATCTGATGAGGTTTTGTGTTCAGCAGTACAGAGAGAATAGATTTAGGGACAGAGACAGTCACAATAATGGTGCATGTGTTGGTAATTCTCCATCAGGGAGCATCTTTGGTTTGGTCTTCACGATGCTATCAGTGACCTTAGGACTAACTAGCCTCTGCTGAAGTCTTTTCCTTTTCTCTACCACTATAAGACTTACTGAGGTAAACTCCTTTCCCTTTCTGTAGGTACTTGGAGAGTCCCTTAGAGACCCTTGCAATCACTCGCTGCAAGCTATCAGAATCAGACATGAGGTATCTGTCACAGTGTCCAAGTGTCTGTCACCTCACATATCTGGACCAGAGTGGTGTCACTTTTTTATATTTAAGTCATCCACTCCTAGGAAGACTGTTGGAGAGATTGACAGCTACACTGCAGACATTAAAATTGAAGGATTGTATGCTCATGAACTTCCAAATCGATGACCTCCTCCCAGCACTGAGTCAGTGTTCTCAGTTGGTTGAGGTGAATTTTGTGCACAACTTGCTGTCTGTGTCCAGTCTCAAGAAGCTGCTGCAGCACACTGCTAACCTGAGAAAGCTGACCCTGGAGATGTACCCTGCCCCTACTGAAGTCTATAATGCCATTGGTGATGTCATTCCAGACAGATTTGTGCATCATTGTTCTGAGCTCTTGGAAACTCTCAGAGGTGTAAGAGAGCTGAAAGAAATCTATTTTGTGAATAAGAGATGTCTACACTGCCGGACATTCTGTGTCTATGACCTGGAGGCCTTCCTCTGTTCATGTTGGGAATAAATGATGATATATCACTGCTGGGCTCTCAAAATGAAAGCCAGGACTCAAGTGACTCATTAGAGACTCAGAGCATGCCTATTCAAGGGGTTTCAGATTCGTTTGGAAACAATATACTTTCATTGATTCAGATTCATTGACCTGGAGAATCAGTGGCTCTTTATCTCCTGAGGGCCAAGAGTAAAGACCCAACCTTGGAAAGAAAAAGAGATTTCAAAATGGTAGGGATTGCATTCCAGCACAATCAGGGAAGGAAAGACCATGGACACAGGGAAGGGGAGAAAGACAGGATACTATAAAGAGCACCATGGACTGGATGAGTTATGCTCTATGTCTCTGTCTTTGTTTGGCCTCCATCTTTTCCTTGTCCACCTTACATAAAGATTTGTAATATATGCACATATGTTTCTTTTTTGAAAAATAACGCTGACTCAAAAATGAACTGGTGTTGAGCATACAGTATCCTCACTTTACAGCCTGATCTCTGTTCCTCTGGTTTCGAGAGGGACGTAAGCTGGTAAGCTGGATGTCATTTCCCCCACCATCCTAGCTAGCAGTATGTATACCTCCCAAGATCAACTTGTTTTTTAAAAATTTTTTATTTTAATTTTAAATAGCTTGTTTTACATGTCAATCCCAGTTTCCTCTCCCTCCCCTCCTCCTGCACTCCCCCAATCCCCCCCCAGCCTCCCACCTCATTGCCAATTCCTTCCACATAGGGGATATCTAGAGTCTGTCATTTCACTTAGGGTAGGGTCCAGGCACTCCCCTAAGAGTCCAGGCTGAGAGAGCATCCCTCTTTGTGCTTTGGACACATGATGTCTGTTTGTATTCCAGGGATAAACACTGATCCAAAGCTCAGGGCCCCATAGGTTGCCCAGGCCTTCTCGCTGACACTCACATTTGGGGAGTGCAGATCAGTCCCATGCTGGCCTCCCCGCTGTCAGTCTGGGGTCCAAGAGCTCTCCCCTGTTCAGATCAGCTGTCTCTGCTGGTTTTGCCAGCCCATTCTTTGCCAATTTGCTCATCACTCCTCTCTCTCTGTCACTGGGTTCCTAACACCATCATTTTCATGCTGGGAACTGACAAGCTGTAAGCCACAGGAGTATTAAGTATTGGAATACATACTTTCTCACAGTACAACACTTTGTTCCAAGCATAAGATCCACACTGAATCATAGTTCACCCTCTCACACTAACCGAATAACTAGGTTACAGCGCAAGGCACATCTTAAAGAGGCTGTCGACTGTGTAAGACAGAACTGGATGCTCTCAACAAGTTGTTCTTTCTCTAAAACAAAAAATCTCATCAAGACATCTAGAAAATTAAAGTCGGCGCAGCTGCACTTGCACAGAATTTCCTAGTATTTACTACAAAGGTGAATTATGTATATGTTTCAAGATAAACATTTCTTAGAGAAATGAGATAAATTAATTAACTTTAAGTCTTAATAAGATTCCCCACATGCTGACTAATTCATCTTACAGAGTACGTTACAAAGTCTATTAACACTTTGGGGCTTCTATTCACAAACTACATACACCCAGCGGCAACTCAGGTCTGGACTGGTGCAAACTAATTCTGAGTCAGAGTATAAAAGTAATTGGAATAAAAACCAATTCCTAAAACTTTCATTTCTGAAAATACATCCAGATACTAGAAATGCAAGTCTTAAAATGTATCCACTATGAGCTGCCCTGTAGAGAATGAATAGCTCACATGCTAAAAGGTTGGTAGAACATCCTTTTTAGTAATTACATCTGTGTTGACATGAGGGGAAGGTCACGAGGTGGCACAATTCACAGACCCTCACCCCACTATTAGGAACACCTGAAAAATTGATGCTTCACAGACCCCTTTCCTTCGTGGCTCAGAGTGGCATTGCACTTTAAGTCCCTTCATGGTAGGCTGGTACTGGCTAGTTACATGCCTGAGGCTTGTATGCTGCAGTGTGCTTTCCTCGGGACAGCAAAGCTCCAGGTGCAGGGTTAGGAATCTTTGATACCACTTGCCAGCAAAGCACAGACACCCCTTTTGCCTCTGTTCGCCCTCCTGCCCTGAGCTCTGGGATACAGAACTATTTTTGAGATTGTTTTTGTGTTGTTTGCTTAGGATGAAGAGTGCCTATCTTCTCTGAACTCAAAGTATGATATCTCTGAGGAAATGCTTGGTGACTTTGCTCCCTAACATGAGAAGTCCTATTATTCGCAGGCATTTCTGGAAACCATCTATGCTACAGATTAAAGTCTGTACCAGAGAATGAGCAGCAGCCCACAAGGCTGCAGCAGCAGCAGCAAGGTTGTGCTATGTAGTAGCCAGGAGGTAGCTGTTTGCTGTAAACAGTGTTTCACTTGTGTGGATGAACAATGTGCTCATATTAGCAACTTCTCATCTGCAAGGGGAGGAATTTGGCTTTACAAGACTTTTCACATGAAATAAAGCCAGGAGGACCAACATCTGATATTCAGAATTATGATCAATATCAAACTCACAGGTAGTTACCAACAAGTACATGCATGTACACAAAGACCTAATTTATTTGGCTTGTTTGGAGTAAGCAGAACTATAGACGAATCTGTAAAGCAACAGTAAAAACATTATATTGTATGTTCCCTGAGCAAAGTTCTTTGTCCTGAGCATGTAATAATGACAATGTTTTCAAATAAAAAATAAACCCCAGATTTTAACCATAAGATAGTTTTTGTATGCGCTCTTAGTTATTCAGTCTGGTCAGATGCTGAAAAATGCCATCTTCATGCATAAAGTTCATAGTTCATGTGTTTCAGAATCTTCTATTTTCACTTTTAAAAATGATCTCAGCTCTGAATTTTCATATGTAACTAGAATTTCCAATTTTCAAGTCCGTAATTTCCTATTGCAATAGTCAAGGATCTTTGGCTTGACTTTCAAAGTGACCTACCATATTTTCTTGTACAACTGTTCCTTTGTTCATTATACTCAGTGACACTTTGATTTGTCTACATAATTTAAATAAGCTTGCCACCCTCACATAAGGCGAGGCAGTGCTTCTCTATGGCCACATGACATTCAATATCGTCAACAGTATGTTCTGCATCAGCACATGATACGTCAATTAAACGCTATGGAAATTCTCATAAATATGGTCAAGATGTTCAAGCTAACCTGGAAAGGACTGCCACACAGGAGGAAGGAACTCCTCAGTAGATTGCATTTCATTTGAGTCAGGATGCTTTCTTGTTTGATTATCTGAACTTATACCAATAGGCCCTTATAAAATTATATTTATTGCCAAAATGATGCACTGTAATTCTTGGTACCTTGGCGGTGTTTCAAAAGTTTGGTCATCACATTTAGAAGCAGGCTACATCCATTTTTTTTAACATGATGGAAAACAGACCTATACTCTGATCAGTCCCTAAACAATCTGTGAGCAAACTCAGAATCCATCTGAGAAGATTCTTATCAATAGCCCTGAATGCTCACCCTGAATCCATAACTCTGTCATGTCAGCTTCTATACTCAAGATAACTGCCATGCATCGATGTTATCATAGAAAATATTTCTAGCCACATGGCAGTGGGGGACTTGGTAACTCAGCACTAGGCTTGTCATTCTAGCTGCCTGTCACCAAACACTATTCTTTTGAGTATCAATCTGGCTATATCTGTCAGGCATTTGTGAGCATCTACTTAATTTTCTTTCTAAGCCCCACTATTTTCTTCAATCCAATGGTGCTTTGTTTGTTTCAGAAATAGTCTGAGGCCTCTATGGGGGGAATAAAAACAGCCACCAAAATATACTTGAACAATTTGTTTTCCTCTAAGGCTTCAGGAGTAAGGAAGGATACCCTTCCTGGTCTCAGTCATGGTTCAGAAGCTATTTAGTCAAGGGAAGCTTATGCTGCCATAGTCCCTTAAACACATCAGACACTTATAAAAGGGCTGGTATCAAAACACCACTGGAAAGTGTCACAGCACATATTTATATATTACCCTCCCCTTCTTACTAGGCATGTAGATTACATCAAAAACAGAATAAAAGATACTGAAATATCAGTCCAGGAACTTCACATTCGTATTCTTTTCTGGAGTTATATATCCAAAAATTAAAAGCTTACGGCAGTCACAGGCATTAGTATCAAGTTACCACCTTCAAACAGAAGACATATAACAGCAACACCAAAACACTCCATCAGCACCAGGCCACAGAGATGAATCCAGACTTTGGAGGCACCAAGTAGCCCAAACCCTTTAGTACCCTTGACTGGCAGGCAGTCTGAGCTTTGGTTCACACGAAAGGTAACAGTATAAAAGAAGTGGTATTTAGGGAAAAAATCAAGGGTCAATTCTGAAACCATCTCAAATGTTTCACTTGGACTTTCAATGCTTGGAGATGCTCATTTATCTGTGGGAAAGTATGTGTTTTTATCTCCATATATACGTGTATAAAGACAGGCATGTACATGTATGTATGTATGTATATGCCTGCACTCCTATGTGAAATCCTCCCACACACATACATACGGACATCTCCCCTTTCACTTATACACCCCCCCACACCCACCCCATATATATGTATATATATATATATATATAGTATCTCATGTCTGTGAAACATGACACCCTACTGAAATGTAATCTGCTTAAGAGTGATTTGTCTGATTAAAAATTCCCACTTCCTTGGCAGTTGTTAGAATACCAGTCAACTGCTCTCTGTGGAATGCTATTCCCCTGTGCTTGTGTGAGGTAGACTTCCCAACAGGGTGCAGAGAAGGATGACAAGCATTAAGTTTTTTTTTTTCCGCCTTTGAATTGAAGGCCCCTTTTTGTTTTGCTCTTCTGGTGCCTTCATGGAAGAAACTTCCTGGGGTGACCGGTCTGAAAGCTCTGCCAGCTCTGACCTGGCCTCCTGAGGAAATGATGATGTTCAGCCATGGCCCCTCCCACTTCTCAAGGTGAAGCAGAAGTGCACGGTTGGGATTCTGCCTCCTGTCTTCCCTGAGAGCTGGTGGGCAGCTGTGCGACAATTCTGTGTGGGCCATTTGCCACCATGTGCACTATGTGCTGACAGTAATGGCACTTCTTTGGCTGAGGAGGTAGACTACATTTGTTAGCACGATGTTCAAGGCCACCACAGTTGTAGCATCTCGGAATCATCCTGAACTCTTTTTCTCTCCCAGTGCACATCTGATCCATCAGGAAGTCCTGCTGTCTCCACCCATCTCCCTTTGGTTTTCTTTTTTGCTGTGTCTTCCCTTTAGGTATTCTTTCCCATCCTAAGCAGTGACTCCCACCTGGGCCTGTGATCCTTATTGATTCAAGGCCTTTGGGTGACTTTTTAAATGCAAAATCCACTGGCTCTCCTTCTTTCAAGCCCCTAAATCCTTCTATGAATTGTTTGCTTTGGTGTACAAATACATCCACTGGAATATCCAAGGGGACTCCCTGTAGATTTATCATAGAGATGAATACAAATCCCATGTGCACATTGAACCACTTACAATGTCTAATTCCGAGCAGAACCTGGGATTACTCCTAGGCTGGCTCAGGCAGCATTTCTGGATCATTACCTTTGGTTGCCCTTCCTGGGGCTGATGAAACCTGGTTGAATGGCCTCATCTTCTACTGAAAATAGGCCTCACTATGTAGCCCAGGCTATCCTTGAACTCTAAATCATCCCATCTCATCTTCCAGAATATTGTTGCTGTCTTGACTTCAACTTCACCCAGAAAGAAGCAGCGGTAAGGAGAGGAGGGAAAGCAGTGGAAATGTAAGGTGTTGTGGGTCTGAGAATATGAATCCACAATAGCATACGCCGAGGTTCCAAAAATCTATTTTATTCCTGGGCAGCATTACAGAAACTGATTGAATAGAGACCACAGTGCAGACTCAGGGGCTGAGTGCTTCCTGGATTCTTCTATCTAGGGTTCCAGAGAGGCAACACGCAGAAGCATATCTAAAATCATAAACATGGCTTACTTCCACAGGACCATAAGACAGACAGTCTCTGGTGCTGCCAGATTGATTTTGGGATCCTCATGGGTGGATCTTCAGACCCAGCCAATGCATCAACATGTTGTGGCCCCAAGGCTGCAAATCAAACCAAGCAGACATAGAGGTTTCCATATGTGTTCCATCATTTCCAAAGAGACCAGACTATGAACCAATCAGAATCATTTGTTCTTACTCTTGATAGGAAAAGCCATAATGATTTATAGACCTAAAGATTCACTGTAGAGTGTCTCTCTTATTTAAAGAAGTGTGGCAGCTATTGGAAGGTCTCTAGCTCACAGAGGGCTTGGCAATGTGATCATTCATTCACCCTAAAGATCAAATGGATTTTGAAGTCAAAATGGAAGCACTTAAGACAAGGGGACTTTGCCTGTTCCCTCCAAAGGGATGTCATTCATTGACCTGTTCATCTCAGATGAAAAATCATTCAGATGCTCTTGTGCAGTCAGAGGGTTCTAACACTGTCTTGGGAACACCTTACAAATCTTGGTTCACTTTTACTTTGCAGCCAGGAGGCCTAGTCATCACATCTTCTACCTTAGTTTCCAAATTACTAAAATGAAGCCCAGTGCCCCCATAGGAGCTCTAATGACTTCAAATATGAAGCTGAATGCCCAACTTTTTAGAGATGATCCCTAGTCTTTCCCTGGCAGTCTCAGTCTGTGGACAACAGTGGCGGGGCCCATTGGGCATATTACACAGGCAATTGCACTGTGGAATAGTCCTCTATCCACTGTAAATATTGTCTCTCTAATAGATTTAATGAATCACTGGTCAGTAACCAGGCAGGGAGTATAGGACACACAACCAAACAAAGGAAGCTTGGATGAGCAAGGCTACATCAGAGGGTCATCAGCAAATGCAGAGAATCAACATGAGAATGCTGTCCTGAGGAAAGGAACCAAGAGTAGCCACCTATAGCCAGACTTTGTCTGCAACATAAATCCAAACAAAGCGAAACGTGTTCCTGTACAGTAATTCAGATACCATTAGATGGAATGAGAGAACCCAAAAGACTGTGAGTCCAAAATGGAGATGCCAATGCATGGTGTCTTACAGGAAGAGGAATTCCAAGGTATTGTTTGGGTCTAGCTAACACAAACAGTATCAAACACATCTACTCTTTTATTTGCTGTTTAAAATATGGTTTTCCCTGCACTGCAGACAGGAGATCAATTGGATATGCTTTCTGACTGGAACTCAATACGTAGCTCAGGCTAGCTCCTCTTTACCACACTTTTGCCTATCATTGAGAGTGTTGGGATTCCCTGTTTTAGCTATGATGCCTGGCTAGTGCATCTGGCTATCTGACAGTGCATAGTTGCCTGGTTGAAGTTATATATTTTTATGATTTACTAAAGCTTAACTGAGTATTAAGAGAGCAAAATCAGCCTAAAGCATAGAGATCAGACAGTGGTGACTCACACCTTTAATCCCTGCAGCAGAAGAATTGGTGGTGGTCCACACCTTTAATCCTAGGACTCATTATTGAGAGACAGACTTATCTCTCTGAGTTCAAGACTACCATGGGATCTATGAGATTGAGTTAGTGTAAAAGAGTAACAGGTCACAATCACACACCTTTAATCCCAGCACTAGAGAGGTATAAAAGATAGAAGCAGTGTCCTCAGTATTCAGTGTCAGGCATTCATTTTGCAGGCAGGAAAGAGAGGCAGCAGTTGGAGGTTTGGTGAAGAGGTTGTCTGTCGATCAGCCCTTACTGCCTGAGACTGAGGTAAGAATTAGTTGTTAGCTGCTTTGCAATTCTGAAATTCAGCTTCAATTTTGAACAACAATATCAGTCTCTGGGTCAATTATTTAGCATGCTGCTCCTGGCATCGAGGCAGGAGCCTCTAATGGCAGCAATTTATGGGCAGAGTAAGAGGACTGCAGGCCAGTCTAGTCTCTGTAGTGTAGCTTCAGGTGAGTTCAGGTTAGGGGATCAAATAAGATTTGCTATGTCTTGATGTAGGTGGATTTGTTCTGGATTTGTGAGCCCAATATGAATATGCTACAAGTTTGAGCCACATTCCCAGGTCATCCATCTGTTTTTGTTTAAATTAATGTAAATACAACAGGCAGGGATGTTTGACCTGGATGAGTGATATTTTATGCTCAGGACCTGCATTCTAGTTCCCATGTGTACCTTGGATGTGCTTCCTGGATCTGTCATTTTTAATTGTCATTCTCAGACAATGTCAAGTCAAATAGTCAAGGCTGAAACAACCACATTCCTAAAGATTAGTTATCAGTTCAGCTGCAACATGTAGCTTGTGTCCATAAAGCTAGTAGCAGATCCCTGAAGAATTTGTAAATCATAATTAAAACAATTATGAAACCCTAATCAGGAATGAATTATTGAAGCGAGTGCTAAGGGTTTGAACAACAGCGTAAATTCTAACTGGAATTCTAAAATGGGCATAAGAATCTCTACAGAGCCAGAAAGATCTCGAGCTCAAGAACAGCCTTGCCTATTATAGACAGGTCTCAAGTTAAATCCAGTGTAGTGACTCTTACCTTTAATCCCAGCACTCGGGTTTACAGACATTTGCCTTCAGGCAAGTCTCAGGTCATTTGCTTTGCTGTCTTGGACAGATGTGATCGCCCCTATGTACATCCCAGGCCAGTGACTCCCTGCAGGACTCACAGTTCATTTCCTGTTTTTCCATAGGACACAGTCCCTGCTAAACTACTGATACCAGCCTTGAGCTCATTCTGAATTTCATGTAGGTGTTGACTTTGTTCTTGCTTTCTCATCCTTCTGAGTAAAAGCCACTAAGAGGCCATCGGAATTGGTAGTTCCCTGATCTAGATACAGCTATGTTCTGGGGCACAAGTGAGGCCACAAGATCAGCCTGTACACAGCACAGCAAACAAGCCTATAGGAAGTGCTAATTTAGCTGTGAGGTAGAGGTGCACGCCTTTAATCCCAGTATTTGGGTGGCAGAGGCAGGAGGATCTCATTGAATTCAAAGCCAAGATAGGCTCCAAAGCTACAGAAAAAAGAGTGTCTAAAAAACCCACACTCAGGAACAGGAAGGAAAATAAATCATAATTTAGCCAGGTGGTGGTGGCTCACAAGAGTGGTAAAATACTTTTCATGATTTATTAAAGCCACTGCAGATCAAAACAGCAAATCAACCGTACTAGATATCTGTATGCCAGACACACCTTTAATCCCAAGACAGAGTGACACATTTCACACCTTTAATCCCAGCATTAGAGAAGTATAAAAGGTAGAAGCAGGGACTTCAGTAGTCAGTCTTAAGATTATTCTGCAGCGAAAACCGAGGAGAGGCAGCAGCTTGAAACTTGGTGAGAGCTGGTGGAGACAGGATCATCTCTTTCAGCCTGAGGTAAAGGTAAGAGGTAGTGGCTTAGCTGATTTCCTTGCCTGATCTTCAATTTAAGATTGAACCCCAATATTTTTTACTGCATCTGTTATGTGTCTTGTGACACACAGCATTATTCCAGGCACTAAGGAGATAGAGGGAGGCAGATCTCTGTTATTTACAGGCTATCCTGGTCTCCAGAGGTAGGTCCAGGACTGTGGAACTGTTACACTGAGATATACTGTCTCAAGAAACAATACAGAAGTCCTAATCTTCACCAGGATCTCAGTTCATTCTACTTCCTGTAAGTAGATCTAATGGACCTGAACATGTTATATTTAGATGTTCTTTCACAAACATAAAAAGTTATTGAAACCCAGGTTAGAATCCAATCTCCTAGGTAACGATTCCTGAAGAGGTAAACCAGATACAAATAAGCCAACTAATTAATTAATTAACAATACACAGAAAAATCATTACTGTTTTGAGGTGACTTGGGGCATGGGTTTTTGCTGTCAGTATAGACTCAATTCATTCTCTTTTTTGATGGGAGATCTAATCAAACTGGTCTCACAAAATTCATACTACTATAATCAGGCAAGAGGATTACTGAGACTTCCAGCTCAGCTCAGGGTACATAAAGAGTTCTGATATTCCTGAGTTACATAGAGAGAATTTATATGAAAATTACAAACATATTAATATAAGAAAGAGATTGTATCCCAGTGCTGTGTGTTTGTGGAGTAGTGTTATGGAGGCTTTTGGGACTTGACCACCATCTGGGATTTCATGCTTTCCCACATCTGATTCACTCAAGCTGTGGATTTAAAAGACCAAGAAGTACTGGATTGGGAGATGCCTTGTTATCCAATCAGAAGGCAGCATTTGGCTGAGAGGTGGGCCTATGAAGGGAAGTTGTGATTGTAAAGGGGCATATAAGGGTTCTCATGGGCAGGCTAGGCACTGTTTGTTGGATCCTAAATGAATACCAGGACGTGCTGGGATTTGAACGCCTGTTATGTGTGTCCTGATCAGGGAATGCTTACACCCCCTTCAGATCACAAAACCTTCCCCAGGATCACCAGTCTCTTAGGTCAGCTTAGTGTTCCTGAGTGTGTTGTTGTTTTCTTTGGTGTGCCTCTTTTGAAGCTGATAATTCCATGTAGCCGAGGTTAGCCTTGAAGTCCACATATAGGTAATTGTTAAGATTAATGAGGCCTGGAGCTAAACTTCTGTGTCCTTTAAAAGATTGCTGAAGTTGTTATATTCAAGAGCTAAGGCACATTGAGCAAGCACTGACCAACAACTCTAATCTTCCTTAAAGGTATTTAATTCAAAGTGACTACAGACTTATTAACTGTTGATGAAAAAAATTCTAGAGAACATCATTTGGCCATGAATCTCAGGAAAGCATCAAGATGACAATTCCTATTATTCTAACTCCTAAAGAGTGGTCTGAAGCTTTTGTGGCTCCAGGTTCTAAAGTTTTACAAATATTGGCAATTCTACCCATTTCTTATATTCAGCCAACAAGTTCCATTGATTGAATGCCAATCATACTTAGCTGTGGGAAATATCACTTTGCTCTTGAGGATCATGAGAGATATTTAAAGATGGTTGCCAAAAAAAGAATCTGGTTCTCATTTGATTCTCCAATTTCTAATAACCCTGAGCATAGTATTCACTGGAACAGAGATTTTGATTGGTCAAATAACAGAGAGACTTGTTCCCAGAGGTGTTCATCTCCAAGATATCTTAGAGGGATTTATGGCTATGAGAAAGTCAGATAGGGATTAATACACAATACGCGATTTCAAGCTTTTCTAGGTTAGTGAATGAAAGCCTCCATGGCTTAGGCAATGAAGGGGAAGTGGGGTATGACTAAATGGGTTTATTCTCTGCATCTTTCTATAGAACCTGTGTATAAGAAAGTCAGAATGAGTTCTCCATCGTCGCTCAAGCTGCTGGCAATAAAAAGTCTGCTGAAAGATGAAGCCTTGTCTCTCTCTGCTCTGAAGACCTTGCCCATGGAACTCTTCCCGCCAGTATTTAAAGTCGCCTTCGATGGCAAACAAACAAACATCCTGAGGGCCATGGTGGCAGCCTGGCCCTTCAGATGCCTTCCTGTGGGAGCCCTGATGAAGACTTCTGACCTGGAGATTTTGAAGGCTGTGCTGGATGGCCTTGACCTGCTCATTAAACAGAAGGCTCAACCTAGGTAATTGAGAAAATGCTAGCGTGGAAGGGCAGAGTGTGGATGGAGGGCGGTGACTACCGAGTTTAGAATGTGGTCCAAGTTGAATCAGAGCTTTCTTAGAGAAGTGCATAAATGAGAAAGGACAGTGGTGCATGGAGTGCAGTGCTAATAGATGTAGAAACATAGAGAGACTGTACCTCTGTTATTATTCCACCAGCCACTAGAATTGGAAAGAGTCTTGGTTTAAAGAATGGATTTGAGAGAAGTCGATATGTGGGGTTTTTGGCAGAGTGTACATTGGTAACCCTGTGTTTGATTCACTGTCTAGTCTGACCAACAGGACTTGCAAACTAGAAGTGCTTGATCTTCGGAATTCCCAGCATAACTTCTGGAAGGTGTGGGCTGGAACAGAGGATGTTGAGTGCTCTCCAGATGTCATTAGTGAGAGGCAATCAGCGGTGTGCCATACCATAAGACGGGGAAAACAGATTGTGACTGTGATGATGGACCTTTCCCTCAAGTCCAGGGATCTCTGTAAATCCCTAAAATATTTCCACTGGTGGGCCAAGCAGAGGAAAGATGTGGTGCAGGTGATCTGTGAAAAGCTGGAGTTTGGGGCCCGACCTGTCTATAAGCCCCTAAAGCTGCTGGAGGTATTTGAGCAAAGCTCTATACAGGAGTTGGAAGTGAATGCACGCTGGGACCTGAGAACCCTTGCGATGTTTGCCCCTGGCCTGGGTCAGATGAGAAATCTTCAGAAACTCCTTATCAATGAAATCTTCACACCTTTGGAGTGGTTTAGGGACCAAGAGATGAAAGAATTGTGTTTTAGAGATATCATTTCGCAGTTCTCCCAACTCAAGAAGCTCAAGAATCTCTATTTGAATGGTGTCTTCTTCCTCCATGATAGACTGGACCGAGTGCTCAGGTGAGGAGTATACTTAGCTTGTTCTGCAGGGCAGAGGGGAGCATTTCCTTGCTACATGAAACATTTGTGCACACCTGGGGCTTCCCATTCATCCCCAGGTGCTCTTTGAGCACAGGTAGGGCCTGAGTAAATGGAAAATGCCTGAGAGTGATTAGGGACACAGAGAAGCCCTGCAAGCAGGACAGAGTCTGTGCCAGCAAGCTGGGACTCATGGAGACCACTGTTGGCCCACCCACAGGGATGGCACTAAGTTCCCCCTTGGTTTTCCTTCCTTGTTTCCCGCTAATTCATCATCTGATGAGCTTTTCTGCTCGACAGTGCAGAGGGAACAGATTTCAGGACAGAAACAGTCACAATGATGGGCATTTGTTGTATTTTTATTATTTTAATTTTAAATAGCTTGCTTCACATGTCAATCCCAGTTCCCTCTCCCTCCCCTCCTCCCTCACGCTCCCACTCCCCCCCCCACCTCTCTCCTGCTATTGCCACTTCCTTCCACATAGGGGATATCTAGAGGCTGTCATTTCTCTCAGGGCAGGGTCCAGGCACTCCCCTAAATGTCCAGGCTGAGAGAGCATCCCTCTTTGTGTTATGGGCATATGAATTCCATTTGTATGCCAGGGATAAATAGTGATCCACTGCCTAGGGCCCCATAGGTTGCCCAGGCCTCCTCACCATCTCTTACACTCAGGTGGTCTGGATCAGTCCCATGCTGGCCTCCCAGCTGTAACTCTGGGGTCCAAAATCTCTCCCTGTTCAGATCAGTTGTCTCTGCTGGTTTTGACAGCTCATTCTTTGACAATTTGTTCATCGTTCCTCTCTCTCTTGTCACTGGCATGTGCTGTCAATTGTCCATCAGGTCATGTCCTGAGTGTGGACTTCAGGATGATCTCAGAATGACTTTAGGACTAACTAGCGTCTTCTAAATGGACTCGATTGCCCTTTCTCATCCACTATTATACTTACTGAGGTAAACTCCTTTGTCTTTTTTAGGAACTTGGAGAGTCCCTTAGAGATCCTTGCAATCACTCGCTGCATGCTATCAGAAGCAGATATGATGTATCTTTCCCAGTGTCTAAGCGTTCATCAACTCACACATCTGGACCTGAGTGGTGTCAGCTTTTTAAATTTAAGTCATGCTCTTCTAGGAAGACTGCTAGAGAGATTGACAGGTACACTACGGACATTAAAATTGAAGGGATGTAAGCTCATGGACTTCCAAATCGGCGTTCTTCTCCCTGCCCTGAGCCAGTGTTCCCAGCTGGTTGAGGTGAATTTTGTGAAGAACTTCCTGTCTGTGTCCAGTCTTCAGAAGCTCCTGCAGCATACTGCTAACCTTAAAAACCTGACCCTAGAGATGTACCCTGCCCCTGATGAAGTCTATGATGACACTGGTGATGTAATGCCAGACAGATTTGCCCAACACTGTTTTGAGCTCTTGGAAACAATCAGAGGTATAAGAGAGCCGAGAGAGATCTATTTTGTGAGTAAGAGATGTCTTGATTGCCAGGGTTTCTGTGTGTATGACAAGGAGGCCTCACTATGTTCATGTTGGGAATAAAGGATGAGATATCACTGCTGGACTCTGAGAAATGAAAGCCAGGACTCAAGTGACTCATCAGAGACACAGAGGATGTCTATTCAAGGGGTTTCAGATTTATAGGAAAACAATATATTTTCTTTGATTCAGACAAGATAGAGAAGCATTGAGCTGGAGAATCAGTGGCTCTTTAACTGCTGAGGGCCAACAGTGAAGTCCCAGCTTCGTACAGGAAATCAGATTTGAAAATAGTAGGGATTGCATCCCGGTGTAATCAGGAAATCAGAGACCATAGACTCAGGGGAGAGTAGAAAGACAGGAGAGTACAAAGAGCACAATGGACTGGTGAGTTTTGCTCCATGTCTCTGTTTTTGTTTGGCCTCCATCTTTTTCTTGTCCATCTTCCATAAAAATTTGTAATGTATGCATATATGTGTCTTTTATGAAAAATAACCTTCCCTGGAGAATGAACTGGTTTTGAACATACAGTACTGTCACTATTCAGCCTGATCTCTCTTCCTCTGGTTTCAAGAGGGATATAAGCTGGATGTCATTTCCTCCACAGTCATTAGCATTACAGTTTCAGTCAGTTCAATAAACAGTTTTGCATGAGAGAGTGCATTGCAGAAATTACATTGAGTCAGGTTATTTACAGTCTAATATCTGTTCTTTATGCTTACAGTGTTTGCATATTCTTGTGTCCCCTTGTCTCTATGCCCTCTGCATCCTAGAAGTTTTAGATAATGTAATGGCTCAACATGCCTTGCTCTTGGAGATTTTGTACACTTAGGTTCATGCATCCCCTTTCATAATGCTAGAGAGAATCTCTTGGAGAGATGCAGAGTGTAAGCGCTCCTAATGCTCCTTCTGGGGAACAGTGTTGGATGTCAGCAAGCAGAAACACTTTGAACTGTTTCAGGTTATCTGACGTTTATATCTGGTCTCTGGGAGCGCTTGGAGTCATCTCCATCTACACACAAACAGCATGCATGCTCTTTAACACACATAATTAATGATGATTAAGATTTAAATGAAAATATATTCATAGAATTATATATGAAGAGTCTCTAAATGGTTGATACACTCACTGAGTTTAACATATTAAAGTATGTAAAATCAAATTGCAGGTGTCATGACGATGCCTCCACAGTAGAGGAAAAAGTTGGAGGATAAAGTATGTTTGTGCTTAAGGGCTGTGGTTCCAAATCAACAGTTTATACTTACCATGTATGAAGGAATCCCATCTCTATTTCCATGTGGAAGGGTGACTTCAGGTACCTTTCTGGTGTAGCGTTCCTTTTGATACTCTTGGCAAATGTCAGCATCCACTTCAGAAAGCTCTTCCACATCTTTGTCACGTTACCTTCTGCAAGATTCTAAAGTTTAACAGCCATATCTTCAGGACATGCCTTTTCTTTCATTACTTATCATGAATGTGCGTGTGAGTCAGTATGTACAATCTTCTGCGCCATGGTAAAAGTGTGGATGTCAGAAGATCCTTCTCTCTCTTTTTCCCTCTCTGTCCCTCACTCACTCTCTCTGTTCCTCACTCTCTTCCGGCCCCCCCCATTCGCTATCTTTCTCTCTGTCTCTGTCTCTCTCTCCCTCGATCTCTGTCTTTCTGTCTTTCTGGCTCTTTGTCTCTGTGTGTCTCTCTCTCTCACCTCATCTCTCACTGAACTGTTCAGACTGCTTTTGATCCCACTACTTTTACCAGGATTATTTTCAAGGTTTAGTTTGTTTTCCCCCAGGACATTCTGTGGATGGCAGTTAGGTTTTTGTGCTTGTGTAGGAAACTCTCATCTGTTCTCCACAGAGATCGCCTACCATGAGTAGCTGAACGCCTCTGTTGATATCATTTAATAAATGTGCTATATTTCCGGGTAGCTGGTGTGTCCCCTTCAGAGTGCACACAGTCCAACTCATCCCAGCATATATCTAACTATGTGGATTTTTTTCGACTATCCACCACAGTGATCTCTCAGTCTCAAAGATGAACAGGTCCTGACATCCAAGAGACAGATCTCTTACAAATAGCACACAGAGCACACAGTTTCACATGGTGTTCAGTGTTTTGGAATCAATGGTATGGAGTCAGCTCTGATCACAGGCACTGAGTTTGATATGGAGGAAATGGGATGAGGCACAGGTGTCTGTGGAGATAGAAAGACAATTGTGTGTTTCTAAATTAGTATTTGGAGCCAGACAATTGTTAACTTGTAAATGTAACTCCTGGAAGAAGTAATTCAATCTCCAGGATTCCCTGTCCATAGGAAAACTCTTTGGATTCTCACTGTCATTCAATTCCTTTCCTCCTGGCCTTTTCCTCTGTCCATCTTTCTGCTGTGTTGTTCACTGGATTATGTTAAAAGATATTCGATGCAATGAGAGCCTAACAGAACCACTCTCCTTGAAGGAGGTTTGAGAGCTTGGCCAGGGAGTGAATTCCATTACGTTCAGGCTGAGATGACCAACTAGATTTTAATGTTGGCTGAAGAAAAATGAAATCATAGAGCAAAGGGATTTGGGTCTGGCTACACTGTCCTCTTCTGTTCTTTTCATTCTTCTTCTTAATAGCTTCAAACAGCCCATGTTTCCCTTGAACTTTAGATTCTTCATTCCTCTCTTCCTGATTTCTGTGATTGCTAACACCACTATGTCCTACTTGTAAGACATGGACTGTGGGGCCTTTTTCCTCAAAACTCCTACCCTGTGGCTGTTGCTGGTGACCTTCAAATAACACCCCCACTATTTGGACACGTTTCATTTTTGTGGCCTATAAGAGCTGCCCAACTTAAGAAGTATTCCTTTTACCCCAAATTGTAATTTCTGTATTAATTTTGGTGTTACTGTCTTTATATCCTTTGTAAAATCAGATAGAAACATAGGAATTTGATATCATACTATTTTTGCATTCATATTCTTTGTTGTTCTTACTACAAAATGGACATTAGAAGGCCTAAAACTAATTATGATAGTTTTTATATTCTCATTACTCTAAAACATGAGTAAGTGTGAAGGAATATTCATCAAGGATAGTATACAATGAAGTAATATTGGAACCAGAGTGAATACCAAGAAAGAGGCACTTCAGACACAATGTCCTTGCATTTAACCCTTGCTAGAAATTGGTGTTGACATTATTGACAATGTATCGCTAGGTTACCTAATATCATAGTGAGAAGTGCACATTGGACCTGCAAGATATATCTGTCTTCATACAATCAAAAGACGTTGAATGCTGGCTAAGAAGAACATTTCCCATAGCTCATTTCCAGTCAGACAAGTATATCCTGACACCATTCTATCTGAGTCTTAAATCAATCCATCTTCTGAGAAGAAGAAGCCACGGTGAACTGGTTCCACTCTTTAGGTCCTCCCAGTTGACTCTCAACCTTCCTGCTCAGTGCAGTTTCCTAAGATACTTGGGTGACTCCCACAGGAAGTTCCCTGTGGTGCTGATCCCAGTCTTCTTCCTAGTTTTGAAGCATCTACTTCACATGGAGGCTGGGCTTGATACCCTGTACCTGAAGATATTAAGCTCTGCCTCACCAGCTTAAGTCTGTGTCTTAACTTCCATTCTAGAACTCTGGATTGCTGGAGTTAAAACTGTGCACCCCCATCTCTGCATCTCTCTCTTAAGACTTGATGGTTATGGCAGGATGCTCTTACTGAGGCACTGTGAATGGGTAAAGACAATTTTAAATGTGGGCTTTCTGGAGGGATCCATGAATGGGGTAGAAGAAGTTTCTGAATGCAATTAGGTCATCTGTGGTTTCTATTTCCTTGGTTCAGACAGTCTCAGTAAGAACACCAAGGTGACCTTGAACTCCAGGCTTTTCAGGTCAGAAGGACAAATATAAGACACTCAAAGGGCTTGAAATTACTGATCCTATGTCAATTTAAGCCACACATCCTTATGTACTCTTTTAATACCAGCACTAGGGAGGAAGAGGGAAGCTGTTGTCTGAGTGTCAGACCAGGCTAGTCAACACAGTGAGTGCCAATCCATGCAGAGTGACACTCTCCTTTATTCCTAGCATGCAGGAGATAGAGGGTGACGGATATCTATGTCAGCTACTTCTGATGGTTTGAGGAATCCGTTTATGTGATGATATATTATTGAAAATTATTACAATTTAGTACATCTTGCCTGGGTATTCAGGAAGCTACATAAGGCAGGCACAAAACCTTTAATCCCAGGAGCCAGAAATTATGAGGTGTTGGTACATGCCTTTAATCCATGGTCTCTGGATTAGGAGATGTCTGTGAGTAAAAGGCCACACATTTCTACACAAGAGTGAATCAGTTAAAAGAGAATTAAAGCTCACACCTTGAATCCCTACATTAGACAAGTATTTAAGACTATGGCAAGGTCTCCCACAGGCAATCCTTCTCCAGCCACACTGAGTATAGAGAAATTCATTCTCCAGGCACAATGAGGACAGGCAGCAGTTTAAGACTTGGTGAAGAGTTTGTGTGTGAATCAGTCATTTCTGCTCAGGCTAGAGTTGAGAGCTAGGTGCAGGCTACTTTTCTTTTCTTTTCTTATATACAACTTGAAGTCTGAACCATTATCAGACTCTGAACAATTTATTTTTTGTGTTGCACTGCTGCATGTCATAAAGTAAAGGTTTGGTCATAATATAGATATTAACTTTCTAAACTAGCAGAAACTCCTGCTCCAAGAAGTTGATCTTGGTAGACATCCATAGCTCTAGTCATCCAGCTTTCTTCAATAGTCTTAGCCTCTTCTCTGAAGCAGGCAACCTATTGTAATGGTGGAGCAGCACTAGAGCAGCTTTACCCAAGTCTATACCGTATGTAGGAAGAACTCTAGACCAAACTGAAGACATGTGCATTACTTGCTTCACAAATTGTGAATGCATGCCTTATAACACTATAGTTCCCTTGAATATTTCTAAATCTAACATCAACCCAGGTGTCCAATTAGCTCTTACAGATCTTCTATCATTTATCACTTCCTCACTCGTTACTGGGTATATTAAGGTTGGTCTGTTTTATGACTTAGACTGTTCCTCTTCAATCTTGTGATGAAATGCTGACCTTGGTTCTTCATTAAGCTGC